AGGCAATAGTCACCGTGAGCTACATCTCTGTGCGAAAATCTTTTCAAATGCTTTGCTAAAACCTTGGCAAATTGACCATTTACACAACTAATTCTTTTTGGTGCCATTTTCTTTAGATAGCAAAATTTTGACCACTTTTCGGGCTAAAGTTCCATCGCTTGCACATTTGCTTACCAAACACATCCACGACTTTGCAAAAAGTGGTGATACGGACCTAATTTTGCTTTACAGAAGCCAGGTGGATCCGTTTAGCGCGCAGTTTCTGAGGGATCCACTTAACGAATCTACTCATGCTTTTGCGTTTTGGACTTTCATGAAGGTAGCATGCACTATGCAAAATCTGGGCTTAGAACGCTGGCTGGAACACGCTCTACAAATTTTGTAACGGACGGACACATACATACAAAAACTAAACAACCCTTAGCCCGTTATTATAAGGTCTTGATGCTACACTATGTTGAGTAAAAAAGGTGAATAACTATCCCTAACCATTTCTTTTGTTTGTTGTAAGGAAGCGACTTGCCTTCGTGATGTCTGCAAAATGGTGGACTGAAATGCGGAAATGAACACTATGGTAATGTTCGGTTTATCGTTCGATTTGAAATTTATAAGTCCTTCTTATGTCGGCTCTAAGAGATTTTTACTACAGCAGTTTTACTAACCTGTAACAGTGGAAGGCTGCACATTTTGGATTCACATTATCTATATATATATATAAAACTCAAAATTGGGAGTTTGGAGGCTATGTGCGTTATAGAAACGCGCGCCGCTCAACCGATTCAGCTGAAACTTTGCACACATACGTTTTCGAGCCCTGCGCAGATGATAGGCTACTTTTGCGTCGATTTCTTGGGTCCTTTTATCGATTTATTGATTTGTTTACGTTTTTCTAAGTTGGAGGCTTATCATATTTGATCAACCATTTTCCCATTCAAGCAAAGGAGGGCGGTGAAGCTCATTTTTACCCCAGGACTGTGAGGATATGGTTTCGAAGCGGATGTCTCAGGGTAAGTCATCCATCACAAATAAGAAAGAAAGGGGGGGGGGGCTCGCAGGCAATGACCGTATTCATCAACGAACCAAATGGGTTCCGCAACCGTGATTTCGCGAACCCACAGGCCGGGATCGATACTCATCGTAAGCACTGCTAAGTTCGCTAACCCACTAGCTTTGATTTGATTATTTCGTGGGTTGAGCCTGCCCAGTGGGTCCCAGAACCCAGTGGGTTCGTTGATAAATACGACCACAGGTGAACAATGGCCCGGGCTGGACCGGGAAAGCCAACTAGTGTTTTATATAAGTTGTAACTTTCTCTATTCTCCAGCTGATGTCGTCATCGACTTTCAAAACGGCATTCACATCAACAGCCGCTATTGTTACATAGCGAAACGCTGAAAGCATCTGAAATATTTCCCCTTCGCAGGAACATTAGCAACAAATCGCAAGATTTGCTGAAGGGTCGCGTTGTCTTAAGTGCAATAATATCTCTCCTACAATCGTGAAATACCTGAGAAAATTAGCGTACTATGCAAGTGAGACTGAACTTTCTAATTATTAAATTAATGCTTAGATTTCTATAAGAATCAATGAAGTCCAATTGCAGAATATCGCCATAGGTTTGCGATTCCGATTTCTAGCTGATTCTGAACACTTGTTTCGTTGCTAGTGCCCACACAGAATATCAGACTATATTGGAACTACAAACGAATTCGTGATTGCAATTTGCCAAAGAAGGACAGAAACATATCTCTCACCCTCTCTCTAATCAAGGGTTGCCCATATGTTCGTCGCCATAAAACTCTCTCAACGAAGTGAGTGATAGCCGAAGGGACAGGAACAAGAATCCTTCGTGGTTGAAGATGAGTGAGTTTCGGAACAATAAGGTATGGTATCGGTAGGAGCTTCTGTAATGGAGTACAATGATTTTTTTGAAAACAGGAGATCGATAAAAGAGAAAATCAATTCAATTGCCAGCAGTAGAATACTGAGGGGACGAGTGGCGTAGTGGATGGTACTGAGCGCCGCTATGACGAAATCGGACCCAGGTTTGGTCCCGCTCCTGGGCCAACCAAACCCTCTACCCTCCGGGGCCGGTGAATTGGTACCAAAGCAATTTGGGAGGATAAGAGTACCGACTTGGTAAGCGGTTGGCCTCTGCAAGTCACTGTAATAGACCCGCGCGCATTCATTAGCCTCTTCGACAATGAAGTAGATTGCGTTCTGCGTATCCCACAAGGGGTATGAAAACGCCAAATCCTTTGTCCTACTCAAAAGATTAAAGATTCTCCGATTAAGCTTTTATTTCGAGAAAACAAGAGATGCTTATTTGTTGAGAATTCGTCCAGACCATGCCGTTTAGTTCATTCATAGTTTTTTTGGTACTTTTCCGTTACGGACCCATTTTTTCAAGGAAGGATATTTCTTTTGATCTTATACCATATTCAGTCCCAAATTCATAGAAAGGAGTGCCAACCTTCTGCCACGTGTCGAAAAAATCTTATATGTCATTTACCTGTTTAACAGGTTTTAGAGGGAGTTTGTTTTGCACTATTTAGCAAAAAGTTCAATTTGTATTTTAGTCAACAAGGACCCTGTTTTGAAGTAAACAATTTCAGAAATGAGCACTGTCATTATAATAACGTCATCCTGTTATCATTGAACAGATTAGACCTATTCAGAATGAAGAATTGCGCTAGGATTCCATTATTCAAGCGGGGAATCAAGCAGCAGCGACTGCAAGCCACCATTTTTAGTCTCACTTGACTAAATTCGCATGGCGGAAAGTTTGAAGAGGTAGTTGATTTTGAATTGTTGCTGAAAGAATCAAGATGAAGATAGGATAAGTTCTAGGTAGTTTTGCTCTTATAGAAAACAGTTGAAAGGCTTTTAGGTGGTCACGAATGCTCCTTTACCTCGTCGAAAATGACTTCGAAAAAAACAACAAGTCAAAATGGACTAAAACTTGTCAATTTTTTCCCGACACGTGGCGGAAATGCAGTCTTTGTAAAATCTGTGAAAAATTGTTCTTAGGCTAAAGAAGCCTTTTGAAAAAATGGGTCCGTTTTTACGGAAAAGTACCGTTTTTGTTTTGCTAACACTATTTTTTCAAATCAGGCGTGAGCATTATTAGAGAAGTAAAAATTTTGACAAGCTCGTCTAATTCTTCCCGCTCTACCTCCCGGCTCATCAGTCAAGTTACTTATCTGTAGTAGTATTCGTGAGTGAAGAGGTCTCTAAGCAATGCCACATATTTTCGTAGTACTCTTAAATTACATGCTGAGGACAGGGAGGCATCCGATGGATGGTAAAGAAACTCCAAAATGGAAAGTAATGAGAACTAGGAGCTCCAGGTATATTTGGCGTCGGGGCAACAATTTTCCAAAATTGCAATCCCAAATCCATTGAGTTCGAAGGAGCCTCAAATAGTTTTGGTTATTGCATCAAAAATTAGGCGATGTATGATATCTTCGCAATGTAACATTTCTAAAGTCTATGATTGAAAACTCAATCATTTCAAACTGCGACGTAACTTGGCTTCAACCAACAATACTGTTAACTGTTATAAATTAAAAGCTACTACTCTTACCTTATCTCTATACCAGTGCGTCACCTCTGCTTCGCAGAGGCTCACACTGGCCCTATTTTCTGTATGCCTTACTCATTCCCGCATAACAATGACATTGAAACTCACCGCGCTATGTAGGCTATCACGAATAATTCGTAAACAACTACTCATTCGTAGAGGTTTTCCATGTGAGATCGGTATTTTCGCGTGGATAAAATCTATCCCAGAGGAACAGATGCCCATTAGAATAGGTTTTTGGAATTTTTATGGCTTGGTAGTCGCCGTAAGGACAATAAACATAGTAGGCTACATCGCTGTGCAAAAATCTTCACAAATGATCAGGTAGAATCTTGAAAAATTGACCGTTTACACAGCGAATGCTTTTTGGCGCTGTTTTCGTAAAATAGTAGACTTTTTATTACTTTTTTAGGCTAACGTCCATGGCTTGCACATTAGCTTGTCAAATTTGTCCTTAACTCTGCAAAAAGTAATACTACGGAACCAAATTTGCTGGCCAAAAGGCAAATGGATCCGTGTGACGCGCGATTTTCAATGGATCCACTCAACGGATCCGCTCATGCTTTTGTATAGTGAGCCTTCATGCTGGTAGCGTGCGCTGTGCAAAATTTGGGCTCAGGACGTAGGCTGGAACACGCTCTACGAATTTCGTGACAGACAGAGATTCACACACACACAGACAAACGTAAACAACCCTTAGCCCGTTATTATAAGTTATGATGTTCGTCTCTTATAGCGATTCGCAAGTTCACTATTTACATTTTTAGCTAGGTCGAAGAATCTCTCCTCTGTTTTTCCTCTGAGGTTCTTTATACAGATTTGTAATAGTAAGCAGTGCAAGTACAACAGTGTAAAAATGATTGGAAGATAGACGATAGGTTGCCGGTGGAATTGAAACATAATTGAACAAAGTTTAGAATCGAATTTTCTGTGCCAGCTGCAGATATGAACCGTGCCCAGTTATTTAGGCGATTTGAATCTATGTCTGATCTCGTTACGCGTCCTATTTTGACACTCAAATTTAAGAGAATTCACTCCAGCAGAAACTAATGAACTGCAACTTGCAAACAGGAAATGACTTGCAATTTTAGGTTAGCCTACTGGTATAAAATTTATAAGCTCGATCCTCATCAATCTCTCTAGTTTTGTTATGTACGATTCGTGTTCCTTAACCAAAATCAGCTCTTGAACAATAGTGAACCGTCTTGTTAGAAATCATCTCAGTTTGGTGAACGACTCATTTTGCTCTTATCTTCAAAAGGTGAAGCGCTTTTTGACAAATTGACACCAATGAAATGCACGGTGCTTTTGCGATGTGTAATCATGTATTACTCATCCTGAAGAACGATGTGGAAGTTAGAGCTAAGCTAAACATATTTCCATAAATGAACAAAATTTTTATATGTACTGCATCGATTCAAAAGATGTTATTGAGCACTCTATACAACTCCACGACGGACAAATTACGTCGTGTAATATGAAATAACCAAGCTATGTCGAAATTCTCCATGCTTGTTGTGGCTCTGAAGTATTTATCATGACCAATGTTGATTATTGTTACTTCATTATTGTTAGCCAGGATACCGGTGATAAAGACGTCTTCTAGCTGGAAATAAACAATTATTATTTTGCTTTGTGTAATATCTATTTACATTAAAAACAATGTAGGGCAATTTACGACAACTCATTGAATTAGTGTTAGTCAATATAGGTTGAAAAAATTTTCTCGGGGAGGAGAGATGGCGGCATATCCAAAATGAAAGAAAAATGGTATTGGATTTGCTTTCGGGGACTTTTAATACTTCAAAATTCTCGCCTTTAAAAGGGCATGGTGACAGCATGCTTCAAGGGTTCTGCAAAGCCAATGCTGTTCGAAACAATTGTGGCAAGAAAGCTCGTGGTTCGCTTTATTATAATATTTTATTTATTATAGTATTTTTGGAAAGGATGAAAATCTTCCAGTTTCCTTGTCATGGCTTAAAATGAGGCGAACCCCAAAACGTATGGGCGAAACCATTTGAAGAGCAAAGCGTGCTGTTGATGGCTTTCAGGCTCTTTTGAAAGTTTGATCCATGATTTTGAGCCAGAATCTAAAAGGTTTCAATTGTCCAAAAATCAAAAAAATTCCTCCATTCTATTTTTGGAGCCTAGCATTACTTTGACAGACTGAGATTTTCCTTTTCTCGATGTTTAGCCACGATTAAAGAAACCATTTGCACTTGCTATGATTGCTTATGAGGAAAGTATATGCGTAGGCAAGTCGTAGGTCCGTAGACTTTTTCTGAACGAAAATACGAATTTTTTAATTGACTGGGTTTTTAGAAATCTTTAGACCCTAGCTTCAAACTTTGAGTGGTCAAATTTGGTGCAAAAAAGTGAACTGCCACCTTGTAGGTTTGCTCTGCTCTATCAAATGGGTTCCTTATGTTCTTGGGGGTTCGCCTTATGGCCCATGACAGGGGAATAAAAAGTGACATCCTTTTCTGAGCTAAAGTTGTTAAAAAAGCTTCGAATGTTTATAGTATTACTCCCAGGACTAGTGTTTGTTATTTAATTAGTACGAATAAATAGTATTACGTCTAGTAGTGTTACTCAATCTGTTTGTATCAGAACCATTCACTATTCAGCAGCAATTTAAGACTAGTGTCACAACTTCTTTATGATCGCCTACCCACAAAAATCTCTGCTGATGTACATTCTTCAAAATGCATCTCACTGCTTCAGTAGTAAGCAAATAACTCCAACCAAGGCAAAATGGTGGGAAGGTGTGGTGTGAGTATTCTTCGTGCGGCACATACCTCAAAAACATCTGATCCTATCTAAAACTGGTTTGAAACAGTGAATGATTTACTCCAACCAAAATCCATTTGTTTATGCTGGTACTTGTATTGCAAGTTAGATGTTTAAACAAGATTTGTTTTCAAGAGATACACATGACTCTTATAAGTTTTCCCCTCAGATTTGTTAGTGACTTGGTTTTTCCATGGAATTGGCGTTTTTGATAAGCTACAAGAAAATTTTGTAGTTAAATGTCTCTGCTATATTCCTCTATTATCTGAGTTAGTGTGAGTTTCCGAGTTCTAGCGTGTTTCAAAATTGACCACAAGCTTACCATTTGTAGTGAGAGCGTCGTACAGGGAACCCATCAGGAAATCTGGAAAGAAAATCTAATAGAAATTGAATGCAATTGCTATTGTTTGCTCAGCAAGAAACATGAAATGTCAAATTTCTTACACTACACAGAGTTGAAGCAGATTGCGCAAAGGAGTTTAGGCTGCCTCAAGTTGTGTTTCACGCCCTTAGCTTTTCCTCTTTCCCACGCCTCAGTACGAATGACAGCTTCATGTTAACCTTGCTCTTTGCTTAGTTTATTAAGCAGTACCTCGGTACACTTATGGTTAGCCTCTTTTGCATCTCATAGACATTGCGTCCAGTCTTCGGTAAGGTTTTTATAAGTGTCACTAACCCTCATCGACGTCAGGAATGCAAAATGGGTAGAAATATCAAAGCCAATTATTTGATAGTGTAGGTATAGGACAGCATGTATTAACACCCTTCAGACTGACACACACTTTCGACACCTCAGTGGCATCGAAAATCTGGTAATTTTAGTAACCCAGTTTTTCATTGGAACCTTAAGAAGTTAGTCATTTTTTTGACACACTCATAACAAGGCCAATTTTTCGATAACTGTTTCGGACCAAAGCATATTTTGCAATACTGAGTTTGCGTGATATTTTCTGGCCAACCGTGCGTCCTATGGTCTAAAGTGTTATTCTTTCGAAAATTATTTCGAGATAGGTATGCAGAAGTCTATTCAATTTGCCCAAAAAGTTTCGTCGAACTAGCAAATTACTGTACCATTCCGGACAATAGACCCACCATTGGGTCATGCTGTCCGGATAGGTAGAACAACTACGACCCACCGGTGGGTCGCATTGTCGTGAATGTGTTAATAATCTGTATCAATCTCCACTTATGCTCCAGCCACTGGGGTTAATAATCAGCATAATCTTAACATACTTTTAGTGACTTTGTGAAACAATAAGCATGGAGAAAGGATGGCCAGTTGCTGAAATCACGGGAAGATAAAAGTGAAAATAACGGGTCGGAAACACAAACTGACATCAAAATTTGTTTTCTTAAAACTTCGGACTTATGAATAAAGCAGATTGGTTCCTAGATTACAGGACAATTGCAAAACTGGTAAAATCTGTTGTTCGGAGCGGATTTATGTAATCTCCAATGCAAACCATACGTGCAATGCATAAATTGTTTTGAATGACAATGGCGATTGGCTTCAAAATTGCCAGCCACCGCTTCTCATTCACGAGAGGGAATCTATCTCGTAAGTTAACTTTTTTATCTGTCTGTCTGAAAACCTGTTTATCACGAAGTTCATGGAACAAGTTTTAAACAATTATTTGAGCCAGATTTTTGCCCAGCGTATGCTCCCAGCATGTAGGTTCGGCATACGAGAAGACGCGCATCGATGCATGGATCCCTTCAAATTCGCATGCGGATCCAATGCTTTCAAAACTCGCAAAGTGGGGATAAAACTTTTGCAAAGTTCCTTTCGCTTGGCATGGAAATCTTCGAGTTAAGGACCTCGAATCAAAAATTGATCAAAAAGTGTATTTTTTAAACGGCGCCAAATAAGAATGAAGGCATACATAGTCAATTTGTCAAATGATGCAAGAAATTATGGATTGCACAGAGATGCAGCTCGCAGGGGCCACTGTCCCTATGACGAATTTAAGAGGTAGTATGTTTATTAACTGATCAAATTCACATTTGTTCTGCAGCAGAAAAGTTTCCCCTTATTCGAGTAACCAATGTCACGATTATGTATTTACATTCCATTCGTGTCGATCAGCATAGCAGAGTGAGTTTCAATATCATCATAACGCGAGCACGAAGGAGGCATGTAACACATAGAGTGTATAACAAGTGCGAGCTTCTGTGGAACAGCGGTGACGCATGGTATGTATATAAAAGTCGAAGTTTGTGGAAATCTTGACCGTATGTCTTTTATAGACTCCTTTGCGCATGAGTCAATTGAAATGAAATCTCCCACACATATATTTTCGACTCCCAGATGAATAAACTATAATACTTTGTGAAGCGATTCGCTGAATTCTTCTACCCATTTACTGACTTTTGGCAACTTGCAATGAAAATGATCACTTATCAGCCGCCTTTAGATCACTTGCACATGCTCGTGTAAACAATGGCATTATCGCTCAATTTATTTTGCGGCGAAGAACATGCGGTCACCTGGAGCGAAGGAGCTTGGAGTACGTAAATGAGAAATGATTTGAAACAGACAAAACTTTACAAAAGTTGAGAGTTTTCATGAATATTTTGAGGTAATACTAAAAGATTGAGATGTTAGTCCAAACATTAACCGAGGATAATTTTCACACTCTGGTTTTGGGACTTGAACTAAACCAGAAGTGTGGCCAACCTGCCGCCCCTCAACAGTAGTTCACATGAAGGCTTCCAAAAATAACGTGAAATAACAAAATGAAAAGTCTTGTGAAATATTTTAGTAGGAAGATGAGTGTCAAGATGAAAAAATGGAGTGCAAGAGGGTGCGCAGTGTAACAAAAATAAGCATGAGTGCTGACCGATAAAATCTGATTATTCCGCCTGCGTATTGCCTCCCTCCGGTCAGTAGATCATGCATTCTACTATTTGCTTTATGGAGTAAAGGAATGTGTAATGTACTGACAAAACCATACTTCCTCAAGATATAAGGTCTTTGTCGTAATGTGTGACATAAAGTCTTTATTACCTCCCCTGGTTCCCAATCATTTTGCACACATGCTTCACAGAGCTCATGTGGCGACTCCGTGGGCTCTTGCACCTAGATGTAACCCGAGCCCTGAGGCTCTCCCGATACTAAGCGATGTACCTAGCCTACTGCGCACCTAACGCGCGACCAAAGGAATACGAGATAATTTGAGTGATTTATCCTTATGGCACTATACTACAATTAAAAATAGACAAAAATACTAAACTAAAGACAAATTATTACACTACTACTAAAGGGACACGGGACTAGGGCCCGTCCCATGCTACCGTCTACAGTCTACCAGTCTCGTCTGCGCGTCTACAAGTAATCTCAAAACATACATGGCTCGCGAGAATTCGCGCAGTAAATCCACCGCGCAACGCGAAGGTCTTAGACGACGGCACGTCCCCTCCAGCTCCTGTAGATGGTAGAATTCTATGCAATTCTAATTAGTACTACGGCGCGTCTAAATGCGCTGACAAAAAGAGTCCGTTTCCCATTCCGAAATACATCCGGCTCAACTGCTCTTACAAAAAAGACAGAAGCAAAGCGGCCGAAACACGACTCGCACAAGATATTAATCAATCAATAAAGACGAAGGCGAACAAGGCACCCAACTGGGGCGCCGCCGCTATATATAGCCGCCTGACTGGCAACGAGCCAATAAAGGAGAGGTCCGGAGACGATCGCGGCTACACGCGTCTCGGCCAGTGACCGTCGCCGGATAGTGCGGTAACCGATGCCCCCAGCCTCCGTACTTTGAGGGGCGCCTTATCGCGAGACGCGACAGCTCAATTATTCTATCGGCAAAATCCTTGTAATTGCTACAGTTTCTATTTATGCGTAGCAATTCTCCTATAACAATGATGTAAATAATATGCCTAGATATATGTATTAGACTGTTTGTGCGGATATCTATAAACTCCAAAGTTATACGTATTTGTTTTATTATAGAAACTATTGATTATATTGTCATCTTTTACTTTTATATTTGAGTCCAAGAAATTCGTTTCTGATTCTGACGTGTTCGCATGCGGTGTACCCCACGCGCGCTGTAAGTCTCTGGAGCGAAAGGGTGTCGGTAAGAAAGGCCAGGAATCAAGAAGGACGAGATAGCGTAAATATTCTATTTGCAATATGCTATTTTCGTCCAAGTCTCTCCTTCCAGACCATCTCTGGCCGTATTCGTCAACAAACTTTGACGCTACAATTCACCTCGACAGGCTACCTGAAGGTAGATTTCTGCCTCAAGGAAGTTTAGACGGTGGAAAATGATTTTTTGTGATTATACGAATATGCAGTGATAATTCTATCTCAAGATATTAGGTTGTCCCATAAGTCTTTTCATATCTGAATTTTCACCGACATAAATCAGTCCTTCTTGTATTCCTGCTTGATTGGATGCGGGATAGCATCCGACAGATCAAAATAAGCTCTACAGGATGGTATTCAAGAAGCAAGCTTGATCCTCATTGAGTTTTAAGCCAAGATAGAAGATTTCTGAATTTACGAAAAAACAAAAATTATCGTATCCCAGTTCAAAACGATTCTGCGAATTTCCCGCTTGCTTGCGCGTATACTCTCCCCATCGATTATCTATACACGCACTTGCTGTATGTTTCGGATAGGGGAACGAAGGCCGCCAATTTGGGCCGCCTCCGCAGACTACCGTTCCTGAAACGACATGCAGCAGCATTGCAGAAAGACCAGTTGGCCGCGAAAGGCGGCTCAAACTGGCGGTCTTCGTTCCACTCCCCACTTGCTGTAATTTTCCAATAGCTAGAAGTCAAGAAAAAATTTTGCTAACTTTAAAATTTGCTTTTCTCGCAAATATAAGAATTTTATAGCTTAGTTATTTGAAAATACTGCCACAAATTTGTGCCTGTGATGCTCTAGTCCTTGAGAAATATCAATATGAAGGCTTAAATATGAAAAGACTTATGGGACAACCCAGTGGACTTCAACCTCAGGGTTCGTCGATGAATACGGGACTGGTATTTAGCCGAGGTTACCAGCTAGTAGTTTATATATCTCCAAAGCTAGACGACGCGATTCTAGTTATCTATCTTGTCTATTCAACTGAGGAGCTTACCTATGGCAATAGATAGCTTTTTGGCGAGGTTTGATATGGTTGCTGACATATTCTGTTAGATTTTTAATTCTCCAGCCAACATCGGCATCAATCTTCATGATAATGCTGGCAGTGTCCAACGCTACTGCGATGTAACGAAAAGCCGAAAGCATCTGAATCATCAGCCTCTTTAATCCATTCGAATACAACAATAGCAACCTTCAAAGTGAGATTTCTGTATGAGTCAACAAAATCTGCTTGGAGAATGTCGCCTTCTAGTTCATTCTCAGCGTCGATTTTGCTCTGCACATCCACGTCCTTGTCTGCGCCGACAGTGAAAATGACGTCATAACCATACTGCAATAGTTAAAATGCAAGTCTCTAGGTCCTAGCACAGCTTGCTCAAATCCACTCAGGATTCTTTATAACGATCGTATAGAAGAAGCCTATCAGAAAAAAGCATTAAAAATCGCGCAACCGAACAAGAACAGACAAGTGTCAGTTCTATCTCCCTGCAATCTTGCATTATCAATGTAAAGATGGCGTTTCGTTTTTTAGGCGTGGAAACGTCACACCCATCACTTCTTCACAAGAACGATTGAAAGCGCGCGGAAAAGAAAACTGGTGTAAGAATACACGGAGACTGCAAACGCGCTCACCCTGATTCGATTTTCTCTGCTAGCGTAGGTGTGTCGCCATTGCGCACGGCTACTGAAGTCGTCCCATTTGACTACAACGAGCACCAATAGCTGCGAGTTAATGAATGCAGATCGTCGTGGTACATTCAAATATTTCACTGGTCGAAGCCTCTCAAAAAAGTATTAAAGGCACCGTCCACCCAAAATGGAGGTTGGCGAGATTATGATGGCATACTAGTGTGGGCCCCCATACTAGACAAACCCCCAAGTTTCGCCGCAAAAGACTGCTTCTGAAGCGAGAAATCCGCTTCGGAAGTAACAAAAGTGGGCGGGGCGCCCCCGGTCCCCCCGCCCACTTGCATGCTTTATCTCGCCTGCTTGTTGCAGGGGGTTCTCGAAACAGGGATTTTTGGGGGTTTCGCGAATTTTCGACTCCATATTGGGAATCAGGGCTTTCGAAAGGCCTGAAGGCGACAAAAACATTGAATTCGAGTTGGGTGGACCGCCGGGGGCGCCCCGCCCACTTTGTTACTTCCGGAGCGGATTTCTCGCTTCAGAAGCAGTCTTTTGCGGCGAAACTTGGGGGTTTGTCTAGAATGAGGGCCCACACTAGTATGCCAACATAATCTCGCCAACCTCCATTTTGGGTGGACGGTGCCTTTAAGGTGCCGAGCTCTTTAGCACAATATGCACCTCATCTCTGTAGCATTCGTTATTGAGATGTTTGCTAATGAGGTGGTTAATATAGGTGATACATGGCAAAGAAGATGTGTCATTTTCAACTGAACTCGCCGTTGCTGAAAAAGACCACTTGTAGGTCCTTAGCATACCTCACCGATTTTGTTGAAAAGCGATTTGCATTTACCAACAAGTGTTCCGAGTTGCGCACTCACTCGGGTAAAAGTAGCGGGCGAGCGGATCTCACTTCTCCGGGTCCGGGACAAGAAAAGCCAATAATGACGCAAAATGTTCACATGCAAACCTAACAAACTATATTTTTTGAGTTTAAACAAACCAACAACATCAGCTCTTACGCTTTTCAGAAAAGCTATTGATACAAAGGTATGAAACACTCAAAGACAGTTCACTTTTTCAGAGTCCACCACGACAGCGCATACGTCTTTCATTAAGGGCCTCTAAACTATCAGCACTCGCATTCGAAAGTGTTCGCTTTTTCCCTCTGATAGTATGTATAATAGTATCTAGATTTTAATTAAGAGGATGAATACATCACAGCATGCAATTACAAATTTTCCACTCATATTCGTATGCGGGAATATCCCTTCTAAAAATATGGTTGATGAGCTATAGCGTTAGGCTTAAAGGCAGTTTCCGGGCAAAAACTCGATTTTGAGATTTTGCGCTTACCCGGGCCTATTCGCTATGCTGAATCCGAAAATCTACATTGGAGAGCGCGAAAACGACGAAAAAGGGCTCTACTGGAGGGAAATCAGCAAGTGGGCGGGGTCTTCCCCACGGTGAATTCACGCTTCCAGCTTCGGGGGCGATCTTTTTGGTTCCGGTTTCAAGTCATTCGTTTGCACTTGATCGGTAGTGATCAGAGGTGCGATGGGGGGAGCCGGGCCCACCAAAAGTGAAGGTGGTCCCAGCTACCACTGGCCTGCCAAAAGTGAAGGTGGTAGTGTCGGACACTCACCTCCCAAAAACGTCGACGGGGGGGGGGGGGGGGGGAGTGCGGGGGGAGGGGGTAGAACGGACGAACAGAGCTATCTTTCTAGGTCAAACTGTGACCCAACGGCCCTCTTTAGGGCCACAGATACGATTAAAAATATTTATAAATTTTATTTATAAAAAATTAAAATAAACGTTTTCAGTAAATGGCGTATTTGGAAGTAAAGCTTAGCAAAACTGTACGGATTTTATTAAGCAAATTATGTTATAACGTATAGCGAAGGAAGTAGGTCGATCCAGGCAGTAACGGCCGAGAACCAGAATTTTGAATATTTAAATAGTGAAAAATCATGCGAAATTTCCACTGTTATAAATCTGTTGTTTGAAGATATCAGCAGTTGCGACTTCATAGGTTTTGAAGAGTAGATGTTGCTCTATCAGCTAGTGAAGGAATCGGGTCGATTTAAGAGATAGTCGTTGAAAACCAGAGTTCTAAAACTTTACGCCATTTTTGCGTGTTTTTTGACTGTTGAGAGTTAAACTCTTATAAATCTTGAATGTGGAAGTGTATGATGTTGCGACTTCATAGGTTTTATAGAGTAAGGTTTGCCTTATCAGAATATGTCTTGTCCGTTCCGATCCATTGAAACACCTCCGAGATCCAGGCTCTTGAAAAAGCAGGTAAAAAACAGCTTTTTGAACTTCAACAGCTCGTAACTTCTCCAGAACTGCATGAATCATGTTGCGACTTCATAGGTTGAATTCTTCTTATCAAGAGCTTTCAGATGATATATAATATGTGGGGGTTTAGAGCCTCCTGCGAATTATGACCGGGGGGGAGACTTTTTAGGCCAAAGTCTCCCCCTCGCCCATTTTAATGTATTGGCTGGAGGCTGCCGGGGGAGACTTTGGCCTAAAAAGTCTCCCCCCCCCCCCGGGCATATGCCGTAAGAGGCGCGAAACTCCCACATATTATATATCATCTGAAAGCTCTTGATAAGAAGAATTCAACCTATGAAGTCGCAACATCATACACTTCCACATTCAAGATTTATAAGAGTTTAACTCTCAACAGTCAAAAAACACGCAAAAATGGCGTAAAGTTTTAGAACTCTGGTTTTCAACGACTATCTCTTAAATCGACCCGATTCCTTCACTAGCTGATAGAGCAACATCTACTCTTCAAAACCTATGAAGTCGCAACTGCTGACATCTTCAAACAACAGATTTATAACAGTGGAAATTTCGCATGATTTTTCACTATTTAAATATTCAAAATTTTGGTTCTCGGCCGTTACTGCCTGGATCGACCTACTTCCTTCGCTATACGTTATAACATAATTTGCTTAATAAAATCCGTACAGTTTTGCTAAGCTTTACTTCCAAATACACCATTTACTAAAAACCTTTATTTTAAATATATATGCCGCCGTATACATAAATATATGCTTTCAATAATCTTTTTTGCGTTTGTTTTGCTTATTTTCCTTCTTTGTCGTTCAGCGAAAAATTTTTTATTCCAAAAGTGAAGGTGGTCGCCCCGTACCAGCTCAAAAGTGAAGGTAGGGGGAGACTTGGCTCCCACTATCGCACCTCTGGTAGTGATGTCAGGGCGGTTAACGGATTCGAGAAAATTTCTCTGGAAGCTGGAACCGTGAATTCACATTGGGAAAGACCCGCCCACTCGCTGATTTCCCTCCACTGTTAAAGCCCTTTTTCGTTGGCGCTCTCCAATGTGGATTTTCGGACTCAGCATAGCGAATAGGCCCGAAGTACAAAACCTCAAAAGCGAGTTTTTGCCCGGACACTGCCTTTAAGGTATACTTCCCTTGAATTCGTCAAATCGTTATGTCCACGGGACTTGGCAATTTGCCAGAAATGACCATGGCCGATTGTATCTTCGCCGAAGTCTGGACCAAGAGCCATGAACTTTCATTGATAGCAGATACATACTCAGAAGCGTGGTTTCAACATCATACGGCAAGTTTTTGGTTTTAAACTGCTGCCTCCTCTTCACTTGCGCCTTAGGCAATATTTCTGAATGGATTGTTTTTTTTTTCAGCTCCACTTGACTTGCGGTAAAACTTATGGAGTTTGCGCCCTTTTCGGCAAGGGTTCCGTGCCCATTGGGTCATGAGGTCGCTTTTCGCGGCCATTCCTAGGCATAGATACGAGTAAGAGAAGCAGCGATTGAAAGTTGAAAAGCGCTCACATCCGCGTCTGCGGCGCTGTTGAATGTAGCTGATCCACCTGGCGTTTCTCATGGCACTGCAGGTCGTCGACACTAAACTGAAATAGTAAAGTGAGGCAAGCGTATAAACAGAATGAGCAAGTGTGAGTGAATGAGTGAAGCCTGCGTGGAATTAGCATCTTGGCTCAGCAAATTTGAACACCATCGATTTTCCGGCTTCGACTGTGGGCCGATCGGCCAGTCAGTGACGCCGCTCGACCGGTGTATGTGTACGCTCACCCGGTACCTCTGCGCGGCCTACGCGGCGTAGGCGACGTACGCACGCACACGAGTGTAAAGATAAAGATGTAATGTTTAAGATGTGTAAAGATATGGGGCGCACGATGCGTACTTCGCAGTCTGGCCCAACCCTTCTACGGCAGGCCAAGCAGGAAATTGGTTTGTTGGCCGCTCAGCCGGTAGATATAGCCGCTCGCCCGGTACTCTCTGATTGCGGAGCTCTTGCCCGGTAAATGAGGGCACTCGGCCGGTGCATGCGGCCGCTCGGCCGTATCTCGGAAGCCTCTTATTGGTCCGCCGCTCGTCCGGTGCTTTTGCCTGAGCAGACGCATGTGTACCGCATATTTCTTAAATTGTCCGCGCGACAAATCGCCACATATTTTCAACGCCTATGTCTCTCTTAACGGGAGTATCGTACTTCGTCGAATTTTGGCGATGTTGCGTCGTCAATGTGCAGTGAACAACACATGAGCAATCTAATACGCTTTAAATCGTTCTATGAACGAGTCATGAAAATTGAATTTCTGACAGTTTTGTCGCTCGAAATATCTAAGGCTATACGGTGCTGATTACGAACTCGTACTCTGCCGAATCACGATGGTTCCTAGAAATTTTGAGAATAATCCCAGTAAGCAAAGGACGATGGTAGCGTACACGAAATAGCGTCGAAGTAAAGCCATCGATTTGCTGTAAATGCAATATTTTGGCCAAGACACCATAGTCACCTCCTATCTGCATTTTATCATCTTAAAATGCTTTAAAAGCGTGAAACATGATATATGTATAGGTTAGAGTTCGACAAGCCACAGGACAATCTTCAGAAATGGTGGAGGCGTTTTCAATTGTTGTTTCCCTTCTTCTAAACTTTTGCTTGTGTATCTCACCCCTATCTCCGCCAATATCTTGAATGTTTCAAAGGAGATCCTGTTTCTCGCAGATTGGCACGTGGTAACGGCCATTTTTGACGATGAAGTAATCAGTATCTTTCCTCAATGCTTTTTTTCGCATTCTTAACAAAGTTGAGAACAGAATTATTCAAATGGTTATTGCCCGATGTAACATTACCGTGCTCAGCCTGAGCATAATTTCTACGGCAAAAATCCTGCTCACATTCCAGCGCCAGCTTGCCCTTTCAAAGAAGAGCATGCGAAGCTGCTGAGAAACACCCCGTAGCATCAACGGTGCAGACACCTCCCATAAAGTAATCCATGTAGGCTAGGGCGTCCCCCGAAAGTGAAGCGCATTCAAAGTCGAGCGATGGTCTGATGAGCATAAAGATAGATACCGGAAAACAGGTCCTACAGCTAATCACCGCCTATGCGCCACGAGTCGGATGTAAGGATGATGAAGCGGACGCCTTCTGGCAGGAGCTTGATAACCACACCATTTCAATTCCACTGGAGGTACACTCCTGCCAAAAACGGACCTCAACGGTTATGTGGGAGAAAGGCGAGGAGTCGGGAAGCCTAGTCTACACAGTGGTTCCGCAACCCACTGTGTGGGCATGGTAGGCAGATGGGTAAAGGCTACCCGCTGTGGTGCAAGACTCACAAAAAGCAGCCTCAATAGTATGAGCGATTCGAGTGGTTTCGCGAACCAAGAAGTAGACAATGCAAGTACGAAAATGGGTAATCTAGATCCTGATTCGAGACCATAGCTGCGGTACGGGAAGGGTCTCACTCCTTTCACTTATATTCGAAACTCGGATGATCAAAGCTATTGCACAATCAACATCTCAGCCGTAAAACTCAACAACCACAAATTTCCGGTACTTGTATCGAATAAATGTATTTTTCCGCACCCTTCCAATGGCGGATGTCTTCAATGAAGACACTCGCACCTTAGTAAGTGACAATTTGCTGATAGCGTAAAATACGTATTCATCAGCATTCAAACAGAATTTTTTTGACAATGAATTTAATGAAGCATAAATCTTGCTATAAGTGAAATATTGCGAATTAGATACAAAAGTATAATTTACGAACACCAGGGAATGTTGTCATAACACAATCGATAAACAGCGCGCGATAACTTCTTTGACAAAAATTCAGATTTTGCTCATTTCTGTGACTCCACCGGTTGTCTTTACTTTCAAAAGAGAACCGCTGTCCGGCCGTTTGGCCTCATCTACGGTCCATTCCAAAAGTCTTTCAGCAATCCAAGGCATTGGTGTCCATCTGATAAAAACAATAATCACAAATCTTTCAACTACTATCCCGTGACTTACGATGAATGATCGGCTTTTGGCATCCACTTTCTATTCATAGGTGTATCTAAAGTGATGGGCAGAAGCGCTAAAACGCAGGAGTTTACGGGTAGACCCGAATCTTTGCCAGCAAGGGAAGTTGTAAGCTGATGTACAGCAGCCTTTGCCATACCGTATGCAATCATTCCTGGAGTACCGTGAGTGGCCTGAAAATCAGCAAATTTAGAGGAGACTCAAAAAGCTAAGGTTACTCAGTTTACCGCCAAAGCACCAGTAAACTGTAGAAGGCCGCCTGGTTTCAGGTGTTTTGCTGCGACTCGGGCCGCGATAGCGCTGGACCATACGGATTGCTTCCACATAAGATCAGCATTTGAAATGAAATCGTTGCTATCGGCATTACCACCGGCCCAGCCACCGGCTACACAGAAAATGCCGTCCACAGGTGAATCGACAGCTGCGGCAACGCTGAAGCGGAGAACCTTAGGGAAAAAAGATCAAAATGGCTTCCAAATGTTAATGATTAATAATATGTAGTATAGGCTACGGGAGAGCCACCAGACGCAGGAAAAAAAGCGCCTTACGGACGCTGTCGGCGTCTCTTCAACTTAGCGCACCCTATTCCCTCTCACTGTCTGCTGTCCCCTGCGAGTACAAACTCTCGCTAGTACGCGGCAGCACACAGTTTTCGCGTGCAATGATTTGCCCACATCTCACAGATTGGCGATAGTAAAAGTTCTCACGTCACTTACCCCTTCAATATGGTATTTTCCTGAGTTACCCAGTCATCCTTAGAATCTACAGTTACATTGGCATCCGCAGCATCATTGGCGGCCAGGTCTATGCTAAGAGTCCACTGAAAATATTCGTGTTAAATTTTGAATGAGAGGTATGAGCATTGTAGAACTCACAAAATTATTTTTCTTGAAATGCTCAACAACACTTGTACCTAGGGCACCGCGTCCACCATAAACGATTACTTTGCCAGCGACCATGTTAGCGGCTCTAGAAGTAGTACATGTATTTGAATGATATCCTTGGGAGAAACAAATGATGATCTAGTCATGCTAAGGAGAAAAATTAGAACAACCCATTTTTTATCAACTCATTATTTCAAGCGATTTATGATAGAATAGTGTGTAACGCAAGAACACACAAAGGCAATGTCACTCAATAAAAATATTCCATGTCAGGTTCTTAAATAATCCAGCATATGTCGAGTTTGATTAGGTTAAGATTATTATCCTCACAAATTCTTCCAAGTTTCCTACAGGAACTCTGCAAATTTCATTCCTCAGAATGATGTTTTTCTCATTAGCGCATGTCCTTCAGATATAGTGCATCAAGATAGTGCGGAGCCTGGCCTTGGAAGGAAAAAACTCTAAGGGAAATGAACGTGCAGATTTAGTTGTCCAATTCCATAGCAAACTGATAACCAAACCCAAAAGGCGTTTACATCCTTCTTTGAATGAGGAAGATGTAAGGTAAAAATAATTTTATGAGCGAAGTTTTATCCACAATGAAAGGAATCATGAAGAAATTCAGTCGAGAAGAGAACCAACTAAAGTTAACATTGAATCATTTAGACCGCTTGAGCAAAAAAAATTGCAACAAGCTTTAGAAATGAGTTGGGCGGAAGTGACTTTTGCGAATAGTCATCTTTATCTTGCGGTAGAAACAAGAAGTTCTCAGAAAATTACTTTAAACTGTGACTATAACTATAAACTAGACATGGGTGCGGAAGCGACAAATTCACATGGTCAGAAATTCTAGCTTCCCAAACCCTTCAAGTGCAGAGCTTTTTCCAAAAGTGCAACAATTTTACGCATTCAAAAACTCTCACATGCAAGTGTCGAAGACTCCTATGAATACTCCTATCAACAAAATATTCAGATACCTATTATTACATTGTTAGTCAATGATCCTTTGCAGATCACCATCTATTGGTATGTATATTCTCCTGATTGCCGGTTCATCTTTGCAATCATACGTCTTGGTTTTTGAAGAAAAACACTGGATTATATTAGACTGGTCCGAAAGTTTGTCCGCACGTTTTCTCAAAAAACCCTAACCTGCTATTTGCATGGTTTTACCTGCAATAAATTCTATTGAAATGAAGAGATCTTGTATTTCTGATCGTAAAACCGCGTTACTAAGTATTGTAGAATGAAACAAAAACAAGAAGAAAATCACACAAATTTGGGCAATTTTAAGCGCTCATCAAAAATTCAAAAACTTACAAAACATCGAAACAAACAGATATAACATACATCTGTTTTAAGATCTCCTCTTCCTAGCTAAACAAAATATGTGTTGATTGAATGTCCGTATGAAAAGCTACGAATTTTGAGAGATATGCTTTGCGTTTCTCGCGGTTATCATCTGCCTTTTTTCAACCGAATTTCGTTCAGAGAATAGGTCATGAACTCGGAATTTTTCGTGACCTTGCTTGAAAGTTCGAGTGAATTTTTTCAAGGTTTCTAATTCTCGCATGGCTCACATTAACTCATGGCAGAGGTAATGCTCTAAAGAGCATTCCATTCTCAAAGAACATGATCTCAAGGAAATTCACTGCGATGCAAAGATGTTATAATTTTTTGAAGAAAATTGCGAACGAATTTTTGGACCAATCTAATTGACAACATGCTCAGCATTTCAGCGCAGTATGCTTTCTTTCCGAAATCATTTTCAATCGATTCCAAAATCAAACAAATGTATCGAAAGTTTCTCTATAATATACTTGAGGCGAGGGCGAAGAAATAGAAAGTGTTTGCTGTTTGGAAAGAAACGGTACCAATTACACTGACCACTAAGCGATAACGATGGAAAAAAAATCAATGCCAAGGCCATTGTTCGGCAGTTGCAGCGGAGTGCAAAAGAATGGTTGCGGGTATCAGTGCCACGCTAAGCACAAAGAGTAGCAGCAAAAAATGAAAAGTTTTTCGGAGGGGAGGATGAGGTGGAAACTGTGTGATCAGAAGAAGGAGAGTGACTCAATTCGGAAATAATTCAAAAAGCGAGGAAATTTAGTCAGGGGATAAAACAGTTTAGATAAAAAAAGCAAAAATTCGCACTTGTTTTCATGCATGATGATATTTTGTTCTCGACATGATCTAAAGGCATAATCCAGTTTAGGTGTGGCGCAAATGCAAAATATCTCTTTATAGCGAGCAGTAATCGGAAACCTACTATGCAGTACCAACGGAAACCAAATAGAAATGAATTCAGCAGATTTTAATGACTATGAAATGCAGAAGTATTGCACGCATATAGTCCATTGCCAGACTGAGAGGTTGTCTGAATGAGTTGAACGGGCGCGAAAGCGGTGCGAGAACGGTCAAGTCACAAAACCATGCTCGCGCTCGTTTTTTCGCAAGAATTCTGCCCTCGTACGTATTCTGGAGTATCTACGCAAGATCTCTACCTGGGTGAATGCTCTTCTCTGGACTCATACACTGGAGAAGGTTCCGCTTTTGAAGCTGAGGGACAACAGCCCATTTCATCGATCAAAATAAAAGAATCTGATTTCAAGCGTTAGCAACTTGGTGACAAGTCAGAACATGGACAGCATTTTGCACATGACAACCCTTCGTCAAAAGAGTCATAACTGGGTATAGAAATTGGTATACAGTGACCCCATATCCTCGAAGCCTCACTGAGGCTTAAAGGCACCGTCCACCCAAAATGGAGGTTGGCGAGATTATGATGGCATACTAGTTTGGGCCCCCATACTAGACGAACCCCCAAGTTTCGCCGCAAAAGACTGCCTCTGAAGCGAGAAATCCGCTCCGGAAGTAACAAAAGTGGGCGGGGCGCCCCCGGTCCCCCTGCCCATTTGCATGCTTTATCTCGCCTGCACTTGTTGCAGAGGGTTCTCGAAACAGGGATTTTTGGGGGTTTCGCGAATTTTCGACTCCATATTCGGAATCAGGGTTTCAGAAGGCCTGAAGGCGACAAAAACATTGAATTCGAGTTGGGTGGACCGCCGGGGGCGCCCCGCCCACTTTGTTACTTCCGGAGCGGATTTCTCGCTTCAGAAGCAGTCTTTTGCGGCGAAACTTGGGGGTTTGTCTAGTATGAGGGCCCACACTAGTACGCCATCATAATCTCGCCAACCTCCATTTTGGGTGGACGGTGCCTTTAATACGCTCTGATGTGGTCCTCTGTTTTAAAATTTTACGAGGATTCTCAAAGGCTCATATATTGGTCGATGTCCAGTAATCAGCGCTCATGAACATTCAAATTTGGTCTACCTCCCAATCAGAAAGCAAAACATGCTAACCATTATGTGATGTTTTTTTCCAAGGGAAAGATGCTCACAACATCTTCCATATCATTTACGATCAAGTAATACCCGTGCGTCCAGAAGAAAAAACTTAAATAGAAGAGATTTTCTTACAGATCTTTGCAGAGATGCCTATTTCGTGTTTATTTTAATTGTATTGGCTTCTTTAACCCCACTTATTTTTCTCGCTACTCTCTGTATGTGATACATCTACTAGAATGAAGATAGATAGAACTTGACCAATATATATTTTTGGTGAGAGAGGCGCAATAGGAAATCGCCTTTGCCACACCGCATTTGAACACGGAATGCCTACCCAACAGTAAGGGGGTAGGTTACGTCGCGATAAACTCCACCACTACCAGACAGCTGGTACAAATCTGGGTAAGACTTTATCGTTATCCATACACATTTCTTTAAAAAAAATATTGCATCTTTCCATGGACCAAATTTGGTAAAAACTCCATAGGATAGAGAGTCAACTTCCTGCCACGTGTCAAAAAAAATTGGCATGACATCTACATGTTTAACAGGTTTCACTAAGGAGTTTGTGTAGCCCATCCATCTAGACCACGGTCTTTATCCACCTAGGAACCAACCCATTCCGCTATAGCGCTTTGCCTTCTACGCAAGTAAATCCCCACGAACGACGATACATAAATTTTGCAGTAGGAGAAGGGCTTGGAAGAACAACAAAGCAACCTTTGCAGATTTTCCATCAAATTTCCCTCGGATTTGCATAAAAAGATTGCCAATGCTGTTCCGGTATAACTACCATATAGAAGTCCAGAAAAACGTCTCTGAAATCTTCGAAATATTTTGGAACACGCGACAAAATGCACCAATCTAGGCAAATAAGAAAATAATTTTTAGAAAGCTGTCAGAATTCGCTTCTGAAAGAACAAGAGTAAATTACCGCGTAAGATAACAACAAAAGAAAAACGCAAGATAAAAGATTTACAATGACAGCCGGCTTGAGACTGTGCTCCCTAGCAGAGGAAATAATTGCCCAAATCGATACCTGCCAGGCAGGATACCTGAGAACAAAGTATTCACCAATTACGCATTGTCCCTCCGTTTTTTCCAGGTTCAATAAAACTGCTGAACACAGAGATTTCGGGACTCGAAATTTCCAGCTGACACCGAGCAAATCACATTTTTTCACAGTGTCTGAGTTTTACATATCTTATTTTTCTTCAATAGCTAATCTCTTTACTTAGCTTTCTCAAAATAAGAACAGTTGTAGAAAAAAAAACTCACCTTATCATGTTTATGGAATACTGTTGACAGTAAAAACGTCTGCTACGTACCGTTAGTTCCTTATTTTACGGCTTAGATAATTTCGGTAGGTTGTGCAAGAGAAACAAGAGAACTCAAAACTTCCGGTTACTCTTGAATCGTAGTGTTACTTGTTTGAAGTAGATTCTTGAATTTTCTGCTCTCACGTCTGCTTTGTTGCGTTCTACCTTTCATATTTCCTCTGAAATTGCGCTAGTTGTTCCTCATTCAGAATGCGATGTCACTACGAGGTTTTGGAGGTTCCTAGAGATGCTGATGACGAAACTATCAAGAAGGCATACAGGTCAGCTGTTCTATAGCATTTCGGCTGTTCGTATGAAGTGTTTTTCTTTGAAACTTCATTTTTTGTTATGAGTTGTCATGTAGTACTAAATGATTTTATTGTGCCATCTGCAGTAGTTTTGATGGTGAAATTCTCCTATTCTCGAAATGCCATTTGCACAGCATAGTTCTTTCCTAAATCACGGAACTTCGCAATTTTGTCACCTCATAAGAAGCGTTTCGTGAATTTAGGGTTTTTTCTCAGCTTTTTTTGATCCTTTAGCCTAACGTACTAGTGTATTACTAGTGTATCTTCATTCCTGATCACACTCATTATCAATGTCTAGAAAATTAGCACTCAAGTGGCATCCGGACAAGAATCCTGATCGAATCGAGGAGTGCACGAAGTATTTTGCCTTACTGCAGGCCGCCTACGAAGTCCTCAGTGATCCTCACGAGAAGGCATTTTATGATAGACATAGGGAAAGTATCTTGAAAGGAGGTAAGCGATGGTCTTGGTCTTTCCCCAAACCATTCCATTGTACATTCTAGGATTTGATGGCGAATACAAGCAAGATTCACTAGACCTATTCCAATTTTTCACTACTAGTTGTTATAAAGGATTCGATGGTGAAAAGGCACGTACTCTTGTAGAATATTTTCCATTTTCTGTTTAATAAGTTTTTCAGAGCTTTTATAATGTGTATAGGAATGTATTTGACAGCCTCGCTAACGAAGATTATGATTTTGTGGATGACCCATCTGTGCGTTATCCTACATTTGGTGATGCTTCAAGCGATTATGACACGGTTGGCCTATTTGCTTTGCACACTTTGTCTTGTCATTGTACATGTGAACTTCAGGTGGTTGGACCTTTCTACGGGTTTTGGAGTTCGTTCTGTACAGCACGGTCTTTTGCATGGTTAGATAAATATGACATACGTCAAGCTAATAATAGATACGAGTTACGTCAAATTGAAGCTGAAAATAAAAAATATCGAGATGCGGGCAAAGCCGAGCGGAACGAACAAATCAGAGTGAGTGTAATTCTTCCTATTTACTTTCTGTCTAATGTTTGCTGTTCTTTTTTACTTATAGATTTACTTCTCCTTATCTCTCCTCTTCGCCACATACACCTTTGGAAAGTTTTTAGGAGTTAGTTGCTTTTGTGCGAAAGCGAGATCCTCGAGTTAAAGCATATCGCGAGCTGCTGGAAAAGCGCCAGGAAGAAGCCAAAAGGAAACAAGAAGAGAATCGAAAACAGCAAATTTTGAAGAACCAGGAGTATGATGACATGCTAAGCTTTGTCATGCTTCTTCGATTGATAAAATGTATTTCAGACTTATCTCCGCATATCATGAGAATGAGCATGTACAAGCCGCTCATCGTGCTCATCTGGAGCAGCTCACGCTGCAACTCGCCGAAGAAGAAACAGCTAGTGAAGGTGAAGACGAGGACGGAGAAGCACTGCCGTACTGTGTTGTCTGTGATAAGTCGTTCAAGACTCTGTTAGTTTGTGTTTTCCTACTTTCTTATTCTCACGATGTAATTGGTGATAATGCTGCCTTCAGAAATGCGAAACTCAACCATGAGAATTCCAAACAACATCGAAAACAGCTTGCAGACCTCAAAAAGCATATGAAGGAAGAGGACCAGGTGTTGTTTGGTACGTTTCGGTCTTCTTTATCGTTTAAACTATTTGCTTTGTGTTTATTCCTGCCTTTGATCCCGTCAACTTCTTCAATACTAGAAATGCCTTGCCTTCTTTGTGAAGTACTTCTGTTGTGACCAACAACACTTGAACATTATCTGCTGTGTTATTGTCGTGTTCCAGTGGCATCGGTGTAAGATCCAAACGCTGTAAGTAAGCCTCCTTAGGAGTGCCACTTTTGCGTTTGTGTTTTGCAGCTCTGATCCTTGTTGACTTCCATTTGGCTCAAGTCAGGGCTTAGTAATATCACGAACAAGTTTGACGAAGCAGGACTGATGCCAGCATTTTTCCTCAACTCATTTTACCAAGGCTAGAAGCTATCCTACCTGACTGTGAGACATTCATCATAAACTTCGGAATGAAAACATCAGGTTGATACAACATCAATGACTGCTTGTCATGGCTTGCACTCAGTCTGGGCTGTGAGCATTTGACTTTCAAAGCCAAATTTTAGTTTTCTGTTGTTCCTGCGGATTTAACTCTGCAATCCAAAAGTTCTCATTCGCGAGACTCATCCTTTCAAAAAGGCCGCTTCTTCTGTTTCAATAAAATTCAAGCGTGACAACTCAAAGGAGGCGTTATAGTCAAGCGTAGTTTCAAAATCTAATAAATGTGAGTCCCATTCAGCGGTGATGTATAGCAGAGCCCCCCTACTCACCATTTCAGTAAGTACCCTAATTTCACGCGTACAAGGCGCGGGGAATTTTCTTCCAAAATCGACATCCTAAAGACACCAAGAGACTTCGCAACCAAAGGGCCCCTGCCGCGCTGTATATAGTTTGAGGGAATCGTGCGGTATAAGTATCGCTTTCCGAAATACAGTAAATCGGCTGAGAGCTCGCCCGAGAAGGAACTTGGAAAGGTCTTGTACGCGTGAAATTAGGGTACTTTGCTGGAATTTTTCTTCCAGTTCAGATTGCTGTGGACACTGTGCGACCGAAAATTCATGATAGCAAGAGAAAATAACTTGAAGCAGTTGTTGAGCTGATTCATTTCAAAAGGCAATATACACTATGAGAGTTGAATCGAACTTGTTTGAGCTAATTAAGAGTGAGAAAAATAGCCTTTTTATCTGTATCTAATTTTCTTACTGATTTTGGTGGGCTGACTTTAAATTTATTAGGCTTCGCATACATCAGCAGTTTTACCCGTGTTACTAGTGTTATGTTACTGTCATGACTAAGTGAAATTTCGTCGAGAATGAGACTGTATTGGTGATCATTTCACTATAACACTAGTAACGCGGGTAAGTGTGCCTTCATACCGCGCCGGCAGCCGCCGCTAGCAGCCCGTAGCAGCCCGTAGCCGCCGCTGGCCGCTTTTGTTAGCGCAAAACCACAGAATACTACTTTGAGTGCTCCTGCTACGCTTTTCGTCTTCCTTGCTTTTTCCTCTGTTGTCGCCAGTAGAAATTCTGATCTCACACATCACATTTATGTCCATTTCATTACCTTGTCGCCGTACAGTCATTCTGTTGACCACCGTTCGCAAAAGTTTCTTTCCTATGTGATTTCTTCTAACTCTGGATGCGTCCAGTTCCTGCAGGTGTGCACCAGTTCCTGCAGGTGTGCAATTTGCCTTTTTGAGTATGCTTTTGCTTCACTCTTCTTCTTGGCTATCGGGGTATATCTGAATCGCATTACACTATTTCGCAAGCTCGCCGATTGATTCGCTGTATGGGTTCCTCTGATTTTGGCAATGGCTCACACGTTTTACACAAGACAGATTGCGTAATTGAAATGTGGGCGCAGATAGGATGCAATGCGCGGCAACAAAACAATGAACACAATTTAATATGTGTACTTCTTTTTCATTTTCGAACTATACACTGGCGGCAACAGGGAAAGCGTGGGCGGGCGCACTCAAAGTGGTAAGTTTGATGATTTTGGCTTCTATGAGAAAAGCGGCCAGCGGCCGCTACGGGCTGCTGGCGGCTGCTACGGGCTGCCAGCGGCTGCTGCGGGCTGCCAGCAGCTGCTACGGGCTGCCAGCGGCGGCTGCCGGCGCGGTATGAAGGCACCCCAAGACTGCTAACATTAGTAACAATGGTAACACTGGTAACCAGGTAACACTAGTAACACTAGTAACACTGGTATTGTATGGTGAAAGCCTTATGGCACTTCTTTGTTTTGGTACTTTTTCCAGGGGTCTAGTTTATGAAACCTATATACTGGATAATAATTTATATCCTAGATATCCGCTTAAAAAATCACAGAAATAAGAAACTTGGAAATGACTTCATATGTTGATCTGACTAGTTGATTACAGAGGAGCAACTGCAAGCTGAGGCATCACCAGAAAAAGCTGAGGGTGAGAAAAAAGGCAAGAAGGCTAAACGAAGGGCGAAAAAGAAGAAGGCATGGGACGAAGATAGTGATGCAGAAGCACTAAATGATGGCAATGAGATTAATGAAGCAAACGGCTCAGAGCCTCGCAATAGGTACGTTTTTTTTCTAGAATTATTCGCTTAACGGCTGCTCCACTCTAATTATTTAGTGATACGAACGGCGAACCGATTGCGGATCTCGGCGAGAAATTGGCGGATGTGTCTATAAACACAGTAGATGAGCACTCTGGAGATGAAGAGAACATCTTTCTTTCCGCTGCTAAGCAGAATGAAAAGAAGAAACGACGAGGTGAGTAGGTTTTCGCGAAGTTGACGTATTTAGTAAAAAAAAAAATTTATTGCAGCGGAAAAGAAGGACAACGCTACAGTCAATGAGGGAGCCGCTGCGTCACAGCAAGTCTCGCATCCCGTAGATACTGGTCCGAAAACCGACATCTGTCATAAATGCAAGGAAGTCTTTGAAAGCCGAACGAAATTATTTCAACATCTCAAGCTTACTGGTCATGCCACTATCAAAGGCCCTCCACCGCCACCCCCTAAAAATAAAAAGGGTAGGAGAAAATGATAGGACTTGGAAAGCGCAAGGGTTCTTCTAGACATACTGGTCATAATTTTATTCGATTTTTACATTCTGTCCCAGTTGTTGTTGTTTGCATGTGTGCCTACAAATTTGTTTCATAGATGCGTGCTAGCCTAAATTGAGACCTTAAAGATTATCGGGGTATCGCATCTATTACTCGTGATAATTTGAAAAATATGTGATTTCAAATGGTCATGACGTTGTTGTCTGTTTACATGGGAAATAAATATGATGTGTACGACTCTCATTCATGTGGTTAGAAAGCGCAAATTTTCCAAGTCGTAGGCAAACGCATGTTGACTACGGTGAATGCGAGGTGAATCTGCTGATTTGGATATGCTCCCATCTTCTATGCCGCGAGACCAGATTCCGGTGATCGAAATGGGGCAATCAGGAGGCGCCATTCTCCCTCACCATTCAAGCCGAGTGATGATTTTTCAAAAGCAGAAATAGTGCGCTGTATAGCATTTGAGTTCCAGCTACAATAAGTTTCATTCCAGTTTAGACGGAAATTGGATTGGTGGACGTCGGCCTCGCAAGCAACGGTTAGCGGCGTTTCTCACAAGGGAAGTCACTTAACTTAGGTCGGGCTTTTGGAATGAGACACATATATTTAGAATCAGCTCGGAACGCTGATTCCAAATATGCTATCCCTAGCTGCGAAGCGTTTCTCTGAAGCGAGTTATGAGTTTTTTTAGTATGTGTCATTGACATACAACTGAATATGGAAAGAAGGTCTTTATGAAAATCTGCCCAAAAAGTGGTGGAAAATCAAAATAACATCAAATTGAGTCATTTGGCTTTGATAGGGTATAATATGCATTTGAACCACAACCTAGATGATGATACCGTAGCATGCCTAAGTCGGTCAACACGCAAAATTTGTTCAGGAAAAAGCTCATAACTCGCTTCAGAAGAACGCTTTGCAGCTAAGGAAAGCAGATTTGAAATCAGCGTTTCAAGCTGATTCCAACCATATGTGTCTCATTTCAAAAGCCCGACCTAAGTTAAGTGACTTCCCTTCAGTTACAGTATGCCATTTATAAAATCGTGACGACGGATTTGACTACGGTGTTTGGCCCACAGGAGCAAAAACACATATCGTCTGCGCCCCAGAAAGGTTCCCATAGGTACCACGTCATCTCGCTGCCTTTCGCACTTTTGAACGCGTTAACCTCGGGCACTTCCCTTAAATCTCAGAAGAAACGTGTCAAAAAGAGCGAAAGGCAGCGTCGCACCACGTACGCACGCTGGTTCACATGGGAACCTCTCTGGGGCGCAGACGGTACAAAAAGGCATGCCTCAAATCTCAGCTTAGTCACTTCCAGTGTTCAAATGCTATCATATGTAACTATGCAGAAAACCCATTCGTGTAGAGACGAAAACCAAGAAAGTAGCGGTTGCCGGGCATGCGTGCGTGTCGCGCCATCGTCACAATTTTTCGAATCCCCTATACATCATATCGAGGTAAGAACCATGACCGCGTCTCCTCATTTCTCCATTCTTTGCTTGGCGAAATGCCAGCGCCGTGCGCTCGAAAAGCCTTCAGCGATGCAGACATGCTGCTCCACGTCAAATGCTTCGCCTCCCCCGGGTTGAAACAGACTGCATAATGGAAGGTCTTGTGTTGCACTGAAGTTTTTTTCAGAATGTAATTCATCTTAATTCTCATCAAATGCAGCGCGATGTGCCGTATGCAGGTAACATTACTCATTGCGTGGGAGACTGATCACACGCAGAGATAGAGCCTACTGCCGGATGAAGGCGCAAAATTAGGGGAGCAAACGCGGGTTATTAGCCGCAGAGCGCATGAGACGCAGGGTTTCCAACCGTGGAGATAAAGGCTACTACATGACGAAGGTGCAGAAGAGGTATTAGTTGAGACCACGAATGCGGCGCGCGCGTATGTTCACCATTGTAGATGCTACGGTAAGTTACAACTCCGTTGGCGGAAATCGGGCTGGCGGGGTCCGCTTCGCAACGATTCGCGCCGCTTTGCAGTCTGCGTCTCTTCATTCTAGCCTATCTCGCTAAGCCGTGGCGGTGCAGACGCGCTGCTCCGCTCGGAGTGTTTCGCCTATTCCGGGTTGAAAAAGACTGTACACCTCACGCACTCTGCGGCTAAAAGCCGCGTTCGGGCCCAAAGATAATGCGCCGTCGTCGTGCATCAGCCTATAGGCACCCCCGCGTATGCGCTCGTCTAAATAAGTTTGAACTTGTTCTTTTCTGTTCCCAGGTAGCAAATACTTCTAAAATGGATAGGTCAACGAACACAAATAGATATCTAGATACTAGAACACGGCCGCAGTTTTGATAATATTTGCAAAGCGGTTTCGAGTCGTTCAAAGTCATGCATTTTGGAACACATGATATGCGATATTTCCTATTGGAAGTGACTGATGATGGCAACAATAGCTTACATTCATCAGGAGTAACTGAATACCATTGAAAATGTCAAAATAAACGCAGCCTTGCAAGAAGCGCGCATTGACAAGCGGGTAAGAAATTGGAGTTGCTTTCACCTAACTACAGTCGAGTAGATTTAGCGGTAAATATAGTGTGCTTGCACAGAAGGTGAAATGCGGTAAAATTGACGCGTGAAGAAATAGTTTCGACTGTGACGCCGGCCAATTGCCCGCGCACGATATCCGCGCTACTGACGTGGCTACTTGTTCACGCGCAAATTTCACCGCATTTCACCTTCTGTGCAAGCACACTATATTTACCGCTAAATCTACTCGACTGTATATACCAATGATTAAACAGAAATATGAAGTCTGGAAAAGACTGAGAAATGACCACTACATTCTAAATATAGGCTGTATCAACCAGCATCGGTCCCGCGTTGGGTGCCTTGCGATGACGCGCTGACGCATGCGACGTGCCTTAAAGGCAGTACATCGGCAGAATGAGACCCGTGACAAAACAAGGTCACAGGGTAGAAGCCCCCATATGGAACCTATCAGCCAAAGTCCGATCTTTCTCTGCCACTTCTAACCCCCGAATCAAAGCGAAAGCAGCGCTCATCTCCTGTCCTCTCCGAACCCGCCCAGCCCATGGACGAGTGAACGCGAAGCCCGCCATGGCGAAGACGCAGAGTCGTTGCGGGACCTCATGCTTATAGTATTGCGGCTGGCGCTCTGAAGTCACTCGTCCATGGGGGCGGGTTCGGAGTGGATAGGAGATGAGCGCTGCTTCCGCATTAAAATTTCGGGGGTTAGAAGTGGCAGAGAAAGATCGGACTTTGGCCGATAGGTTCCATATGGGGGCTCCTACCCTGTGACCTTGTTTTGTCACGGGTCTCATTCTACCGATGTACTGCCTTTAACGCGTAACAGTGTTCGCGCGCGTCGCACCGCACCGTCGCTAGTTGCCGCGGGCGCGACGTCGCATGACCAATGCTGGTTGGTACTGCCTATATGTACGCGCACATGCTGCATTGTGTATCCTGTGTGCCCCAGAAAAGTTCCCATGTGAACCGACGTGCGTAAATACGTGGTGCGGCGCTGCCTTTCGCTCTTTTTGACACGTTTCTCCTGAGAATTTCGGCTGCACGTCAGGAGGTACGCCGCGCGCGGCGGTCGCTCTTTCGCACACGCCGCGTTCAAATCTTGAGGCCTCCAAATTCCCCATCAAAGATTCCCGGCGGCAAGAACAGCGGGTGAGGATGGGGGCAGATACATGACTTAATGCTATAAGTAAGATTGCGCCAGGAGCGCCGCTGTCGTAAGGGCTGAAGTATGTTGCGGCGTCGCTTCGCGAAAAATTCGCGCCGATCGTACCTCCTGACCATCCCCCACGATCGAGTAGATTTTCCGCTCAATAGTTTGCATGCACGGGAGGTGAAATGCGGTGAAATTTGCGCGTGAATAAATAGCCGCTCCAATAATGCCGGCATTTTGCGCGCGCAATTGGCCGGCTCACAGGCGCATAAAAGTTCCAAGATGCAAAAAGAGCATGATGCTAGGCAACGTTTTGAGCAAATTCAGAGGGGTCTTAGCCATCTACCTTATATTAACCATAACTCGAGAGAATGGCGCTACCCTACGAAATGAGTTTTTACATGTTCAGTGTGCCAAATAACCCCCTAGACGAAGTTTGAGGCAAATCCGTGGTTTTGACCCTTCACCGTAATCCTAACCGTAACTCCGCCCGGCTCTAGCGTGCAAATTAAATGTGATACTCATAATCAGCGTGCAAAATAATTTCTTTAGACGGAGTTTTAGCGGAATCCGCGGTTTTTATTCTTCGGGTCAACTATGTGGAATAGTACCGATCTTGGCATCTACGTCCTCTATCCATCGTCTATTGCATGACTCCGAACCGCTTTGCACACTTTGAAGAAGCTTGAACCCATTTTTTCCGGTCAAGGTAGCATTTGTTTTCAGTTTAGTCTGAATTACTTTTGGACCTTGACCAAATCACACGTTTAAACTTGTTGAACACACGATGGAGTTCGACAATGTGCAAAGCTGTTTCGGGTTTCCTACTCCCAGAACGGATACAGCCTATGTCAGTCACGTTTTTTTTTATTCAAGCGATCGCCTCGTCGGAGCTGTGCGCCACGTTCGCGCGCGTGTAATTCGCGCATTCAAATTCACCTCATCGATTGGATTCACTCTCACCGCGGGTGCGTAACCTTTGAAACTGGCTTGGCTTCGAGAAGACGGAACTTTTGACTTAAGCCGCTTGCGCCCGCGACGACCTGCGTCTCTCTCACGAGTGCTCTCTGATCATTACCCAGCCTTAATTAGGCCACGAAGCCCCGCCTTCCCGAAGCCAAGCCAGTTGAATCAAAAGGTAGTTCTACACAAAAGGGATTAAGTATGACACAGACTATATTTTTTCATCTAAAAGTTCCGCAGTAATCTTGCACCTATGCGCACGAGAGTTTTATCTTGTAGACTCTGCCAAGCCGAACACTGGCAAAGGCGTTATAGTTTTATTACGATAACCTCTCACGCATGGCACAGAAGTCACAACCGGGGATTCTGTTACCAAGACACTCAAAAGCGCTCTAGACACATTTGATTAAAGGCAGCGTCCAGACAAATCTGGGGATATATGGGAACTTCACGTGGATAGTGATTTTGGACCCTAACTAAGCCACTGCCCAACGGGCAGAGATCGGATAGTGCTCTAATGGCTGAGATATTTTCTCGGAACTGGGCGCCAGGATCGTGTTTCGCATGGATTCATGGCGCAACCCATGGGCCCCGCGCGAAACTGACGGGTTGTGCCGTGAATCCATTTGAAATTCCAACACTGGGATCCAGTTTGGAGGCGTATATCTCAGCCGTTCGGGAGTCATCTGCGCTGCCGCTTGGGCATTGCCTTAGTAACGAACCCAAAACTACTTTCACGTAAAATCCCCATGGGTCCAGATTTGCCTGGACGCTGCCTTTAACACATCGACGACCGCTTGACACACATGGTGTGTCAAGTAATGACTATCACGTGAGGCCGCTTGACACACCATGTGGATTGAATTTTGTAGACATGACTCCATCGTGGATTAGACTCACTCCATGAGCTTTCTTTTGCCGTGAATGTAGGAATGACCTCTACCTTCTCTACCAGCCTTTCAGACTTACTGTAGGTATGCTGTAGATGGCAGCATGCGTAATTATAGTTGAAAAATGTGGGCTATCCATAAAAGGTCTTGGTCCCAAAAGGCAGACAACCAAAGATATGCATAGTCGTCAATGTGTTAACAAGTTTGTTCTGGGCTCTGTCTAATTTCAGATAACTCTATTTTATGTATATACTAGCTTGTTGTGCACGTGCAAAAAGTTCACGGGTACATTCTCCGAATGGGGATATAGCTATCTTTAGCTTTACGTATATATTGTACAGCCGTATTCCGCAGTCATTGCGGCATCAACGCAAATATTGACAGCTGAGGGCTGGTATTATGCTGCTCACAAATGATCAACTTTTTGATCTTTTCCTCTTCCGCATCGAGGAAGTCCCGAATCTAACAAGTTGAAACATGTGCTTCACCTCGGATGTGTTGATCTGAAAAGAGAGGAATAACTTCATGTTTCGCAGCTTTATATTATCATTCGGGAATCTTCAAGTTATTTCTTTCAGTAGTTTTCAGATCTACAATTTCCCATAAAAATGGAAATAACACCGAGCTATTTTAACTTTCCAACTAGTTTAACTTCCCAATTCAAAAGTCTTTCCATAAATTCTTTTTTGTCTCAAGGCCTACAACAATCATCTATTGACTAATTTTAAGCACGGTTTTTTTTTGGAAAGATCGTTGATTCATTCTCATTCCTTTGCATGTGTTATGGTTACACATTCAGTCCCCATCTTCGAAGAATTTGCAGCGTAGGTATTGCCTAAAGACATGACCTCTTCTCTTTAGTGTTGGCGTTGATACCCTCGAGCACTTTCCTACAGCAGAGGGCGTATATTTCTTTATAACGGTTCTGACGCTCACAGAACACTCTCCATGTTTTTTATTCACTTACATTTTATTTTTTTGTTGGCGTTCTTTTCGAAATGATCTAATTTACTCAGAATGCACTTTGAAAAGCCAACACCTGAAGATTTCGATATCGATCTACCTCTTAAAGAAGCTGGATGTTTGGTGAGTATTCTTTGCTATTGTGATGCCTGGATATCGCTTCAGTTTTGCAAAACGATGTTATTTGCTTTCTATATCGTACAATTATTCTTATTGTCAGATAACTGTCAGGAAGTGTAGAGATTTTAACGACGAGACAGCTCACAGACTTTTCCCGCAAAGTTCTGCCAGCTATGTGGCTTCCCACACTTACACAATACCTTCTAAGTGAGTCGGCTTTTTGTTTTATCTTATTGAACAAACATCTAAAAGGAATGCATGCATGAATACAAGTAGATGGGAATTGTAGATCTCATTGTACTGTTTTAGCTACTTTTCTGAAACTTTCTGGAAAAAAGAAGAAAAACGATTGACAAATATTAGAAGAATTTGGGCTGCCAACAGACATAGGTAAGCCTAATTCATTCAGTCTTCGATGGATTATTTCTCTTGTTTGCAGGTTGAGCAGCGAAGATTTGGAAGGTCCCAAACTGTTGGTGTGCAAAGCGGATGTTCAGAAAATTCTTGATGTATGTTTTCAGACAGTCGTTTGTCAAACGCATTTTTCGGTTTTCTAATTTTTTTCGCGACTGAGAGTGTCTGATTATTCAGATGTGTGACTGGTTGATGCATATGCAGTGGGATGGGGATCGCAGTCAGCCACCTATGCCACTTCATTTGTATAAGGCTAGGCTGAGTAGGTTGATTGTGTTTCGTTTGCAACATCACTTGTATCTGAAATTGCAAAGAAAGAATTAGAATCTTTAGATGAGCTGAAAAATGAAAACGACTTTGTGGTCAAAAGACTACAAAGCATTTGCGAAGAGGAGAAGCCAAGCAAAGCACGGATAAATGAAATAAGATCACATTTTACTACGAAAGACTGTTTGCCTGAGAAATCTCGAGGGAGTGACACCAAAGGTTTGTCGACTTGTATAAGTATATCATGGATCTTCCATAATACTGAGTCTTGGTCTTTGAATTTAGAGAATGAAAAACCGGGTCAATCACGTTCATGGAAAATTACAATGATGGAGCGCATCAATGATATACTGTGAGCAATAGCTTATTCGGAAAAATTATGGAGGGAGATATTTTTTCATTTTCAGGGGTATATTGGATGCTGCGGCCAGCGCTGGAGAGAATGTGGCTCAGGCATTAACTATGTTGATGGTCATACGGCAGTGTATCAAGAAGGGGAAGGATTCTTATGAAGATGTACGGATGAAAATGGGTAAGTTTGAATCAGGAACCTCTTTTTGCTTCCAATTCTTTTATGCTCACTCATTCTGAGTGCTTTTCCAGAAAAATTGGATGAATTGGTAGCGGACTTGCGAAAGGCATCTAAAGCGAACGAGAAGAAAGTGTCGCCATCTACTGGCAAGAAACCACTTGCGAAATCTACTGCTTCTGTCATAAATACTCCAACCGCAACCACTGTTCGGAAAAGGGGTCGTCCGAAAAGCTTGAAAAGTCGCGACGATGAAGAGTACGCTGAAAAACGGAAGAGTATGCCTGCTACCGTAAATACGGAAAAATGTGCTGTGGAAACTGAAACGACTGATGACCTGGTATCGCGGGTGAAGCGAGGACAGAGAACTAGGCGTCCCGCTAGAGGTAATTAGCACTTGGAATTCATATATCTTGCATTGAAGAATGTTACTTCTAGCATTTACCCCTGGCTGGGAGTTATCTCCATCTCCTTCACCCCCACCACCACCGAGCAGATTTAGAAACTCACCTAAACCGCTTGATCAGGAACAGAAGCAGGCAGCTGGTTCGAAGTCTTTGTCACCCGACAGTGGACGCCCAAGCAGTAATGAATCCAGCGACACTGCGGCCACTTCAATGGTCCAGACATCTATAGTAACAACAGTTACATCAGAGGTTCAGCCAAGTGTTTCTCAGGAGGTAATTTCTATGCGAGTTCTTTACTCCTAGTGTAACTGTAACACTCCAGAAATCCGCTGACGTACAAAATCTTTCGACTTCACCTGCGTCGTTACCTCCTCCTGTATCATACACGAATTCTGCACCTCCGAGTACACCTTGTTTTGCAAATTTTTCCACTCCCACCATAAACAACACAGTAACACCAAAAGTGGTGCTTAGTCCACCCCCTCTGCCGCAGTTGAGTGAGCAGGTAAGAATCTACTAGGTCAATTTGACAATCAGCTTGCTCTGTTTAGGCCGTCATGGCCATACTGAAGGAGAGGGTGCAACTTGGTGACGTACGACTCACGTTGCTGAATCTCTACTCGAATGATGCGATTCCCACTTATCATGTCAGTTTTCTTGTTTTTGCTTGGGTAATGTGTGCGGCTTGAGTATCCTCTCACATTTATTTGGAAATGTCAGCCATATATCTTTTCAGTTCGTTCCTGTGATGATTGAGCTTGCGGAAAAAGCAATCGCTGCACTGGATAACAAGGACATGATAGTTTACGCTATGTACAAAGGTGAATTTTTTGGCTTGCTTCAAGAGATAGTCTATATCCATGGATCAGCTTCACTTTGATTATTAATCACTCTTCGAAACGTTGCAGCTGCCTTGGATGCGGGTTGCGCTCAGCTTGGCACCATAATGCGAGCTTCGAATCCATCAGGTATTGACTGTACTGCTTCGATGTCTTTTGTGTCATTAGTTGTCTTATAGATCCAACAAAGCAAATAGCCAATCTTGCCACTTCTATGGGTATCAGCCCGTCGCAGTTCACAGCCATGGTGCAGGTAATTTTTCAAGATTCCTACCACATAGGTTGCCTCTTCCAACAAGATCGATGTATATCTAGGTTCTTACTTTTCTATTAAGTATTTTATTATTGTTACGTCCTTCGGTACCTAGTCTCAGCACGCTTTAGTTTGATTTTGAGTTCACTAATTAATTGATGTGATCTTGCTACCAGATTTGCTTCTTCAAACAAAGCTGAATTGAGCTATCGTTACAGCCGCCTACGAATACGACGCCAATGGCTTCGAATGCTTTGAGTAGTATGCAGACGGGTGCGTACCCCACGCTGCCTCAAGATTATCCACTCAATGCATACCCTGTAGTTGGTGCTCCCGTTGATACACGCTTTCAAGGCTACGTGGAAAGGGATATCTCTTCCTTTTTATTGTAACTTTTTAAATCATAACTCGATCTCGCTTGTACGTGGTTATTTGAAATTATCCTTTTTTCACTAATTATGTCGATCTTACTTGAGGTGACCCAGTTTCTTTCTACTCCTGGTCAATGCCTGTAAATCTGTATATTTTGATTTGTAAAATATTTTGTTATGCATCTACACGTTTCGGTTATCGTCCTCCTTGCCTTCAGAAATTTGCTCATTTTTATATCTTAGCTGTTTTGAATACTCAATCGCAAAGTATGTACTTTCTCTCTTTATGCTTAATAAATCGCAATAAACAGGTTCGAGGATTACTTCGACTGAATTATGTTTTGATAAGAAATAATGGTAAGTATTCAAAGGTGGGAAGACCTGATTTACTTGAAATCGTAGTTATAGTTATTAATCTACAAGCATACTTATAGTATAGCTAGCAAGTAACGACAATAAGAGCGATAAAGAAACACGCAAACGGGGGGGGGGGGTTCAAACGCTCGCCGCGACAGGCCTGGTCCAATACAAATTTGAATTCGTCTACTGACCGACTAGTGGGGTGAGGGCGACTATAGGTGTGCTGGTGAAAGCGATCAATTTCAGTCGTTGATGCAATGTCAGGGTCATTTTCATAATGAAAATTTTTACCGTATTTCAGCTTTATGGCACTATCTGATTGAGAGCGAGCTGCAACAGCAGGCAGACGTGTTTACTTACCACGCATTTGTGGATTTCAGTGAATTTGTAAGTGATTACTGATATGAGTTGATATGAGTTTTGGGTTTGCAATGATCGTTGTATACAATTTACATTCTGTCTCAACCCACTCAGCCCAGTTGGTATGACGGGAGTGCGTTGCGTCCTCCTGATCAGCTGCTCGCACTGCTTTTACGACTCCCATTCCCAAAAAAAAAAATCAAGAGTGAAACTGTCATGAACGGATACTTAGTATGACGGATGTCAGGTAGTGTCAATTCGTAGGTTTTTGTAAGAAATCAAAAGCTATTTAGAAACTTTGCAAAGACGGTACACACAGTATCGCACTCGCATTATTCAGTTAGCTATGCGTCCTGATAAATAAAATTTATACATTTTACCCGGATTCAGTGAGGTAGTACTCGCATAACAACGCTCGAAATGATGTGCAATCTCGTTCCATACTGCCTTCAGAGAAGAAGGTTAACGACCTGGTTCTGATCTAAATGTAGGACTCTATCTCAGATGCAGGACATGCATAGTCGTTTCCTTGTCGTAATAGACTGGTAGTCCCTGCGTGCTCGCTGACGTCTGAAAAGGCTTTGTTCAAGAGCAGTTACAACTATAGAGCATAGTTACCAAACTTGCTTTCGTTTCTGTAGCTTCTAGCCATTAGCTCCTCGACGATTTCATGCACTTCACGGCCCATCGTCTCTGGCATATTGAAGTATAGATAGATTAGTGCCAAGCAGGAAGGAATGATGAAAAGAGGAATGAACGACCAGGTCTAAAAAGGATATTCAGTTCAATTCAGATGTGTAATCAACCCTTGCTTACCCCAATCTTTGTGAAAGCTGGTAATGTAGCGAATGAGAAAGCAAATGTAGCTATTACATTCGCTGCATAAACCATAGATTGTACCAGTGCACGATATTGCTGTGAAACCAGTTCGGAAGTGATGAAGTAGGCGATTGCACCAAGGCCGATGCTAAGAATTTTGCTATGAACAGCATAAAATTGTGAGATGCCGAAACTAACCCATACGTTGCTCCAAATAGTATCAACGCAACGATACTACCCCATTTTAGCGGGTCGTACAAGTTGGCTAGTTGATCAAATGCTACGAATAGGGCTAATGAGATTGTGTTGAAAAGGCCAAGCCATAGCATGAGGCTACGCCGTCCAAATCTGAAAGAAATTATTTTACGTAGAGAATGTGAAAATTAATATAAATTTTGCTTTGGATTGCCACTCGTTTGTCGGGAAACTTATCGAATTTGGATTTTTCAAAATTTTTGCACTGCCCCAGAGCTAAGATAAAAGGGTGAAAGAATAAAGGATTCTTTTTAGTACCTTCTGCAAGCACGTGCAGAACGCATTTCCGACTACCCGGCCTATGCTTTTATCCCTCACAAGGGAATGGTGAGAAATCGAAGTGGCCAATCCAGACAAGCTGCATACCATTAGAAGCAGAAACGCTGACTTGAATCTCTGTACCAAATATCTGCTTGACGCCTTTTTGGACGAAGTTATGAGCCGTTAAAAGCCACTATTTTGATAAGAAATCGTGCATGCAAAGCGCACATTTGGCAGTACAGGAGCCATTTTCGGCCTGATGTTAGGTCAAATCATGGCTAGTTTACTCTACATAAAGCCTAAAGCTGAGCTGAGAGTGCGACAATGTGCTTAATTTCGCAAGGTACGATTATTTCGCAATAAAATTGCTCATAACTTCGCCACAAAGGCGATAAGCGCTGTGGAATACCGATTCGAACTCAGCGTTGAATGCTGTATCGAATGGTAGGCAGCTTACTTGGATTGGCCACTCCGACTTCTGACCATTCCCTTGTCAGATCACCCTAGTAGCAATTTAACATCTCCGGAAGGTGAGGGCTTGGTTAGCCCAGAGGTGGGTCGAAACTTCGTCACACCTGTCACAGCGGCGCCTCGTACCACTACGCCACTCGTCCTCCCGTCTCTCGTCCTCCGAAAATTAAGACTCATGTGCAATATACCTATTTCATATGATGATCAAGACGATGACAGCTTTGTTCTTTTCTATATAATGAGAATTTTATCAAATTTCAGCGAAGTTACTTTGAGACATTATGAGCATTATAAATGAGATAAAATGGAACAACCCTACAACACAAGATTTGGCCGTAATCTGTTTTCATTTGTAGTGTGGCTACCGGGCTGGAGAACTATGCGCCGGATGTGGAAGAGTCCCGCGCGGATTTCCTACAGGTACGCATGGGTGGGGGAACGAAAGCCGCCAGTTTGAGCTCACTTTCGCGGCCAACTGGTCCTTTCGCAGTGTTGTTGCATGTCGTTCCAGGACCAGCAGTCCGCGGAGGCGGCCGAAACTGGCGGCTTTCGCTCCCCTACCCGGAACGCATGTCTGCGGGTAGAGGAACAAGCCGCCAGTTTGAGCCGCCTTTCGCGGCCAACTGGTCCTTTCGCAGTGTTGTTGCATGTCGTCCCAGGACCAGCAGTCCGCGGAGGCAGCCCAAACTGGCGGCGTTCGTTCCCCTACCCCATGTCTGCGCATGTACAAGAGTGCATATTTGTCGCAGTCTGCGCATGTACAAGGGTGCATATTTGTCGCAAATGACCGCGGGGACCGCCCTTTTTCGGCGACATATAGTCCTCTACCCTGGCTACCGTAATACTACCGTACGACGCTAGGCGAGCTGCATTTTTTCAGGCCTCACCTGAGGCAACAGAAGCGAAACGCGCCTTTACCGTTGGTGTTCGAGACGTCAGTGCTGAACTACTTCAGCTCTGAGCTCAAATATTAGGGGTTGTGCTGCTAACTCGTACGAGTGATGGATATTTGCTAGATCTGAGGTCGGTAACAGCGGTGTTTTTGCGGCATTTTTCTCTTCTTTTTTTTTGATTTGTGGCTCTTTCCAACGAATCTCCCCTTCATGTGGCTAATCGTTTCGTGAGAATTAAGGGTGTCAACCAACTTTTCGATGATGAGCATTCCAAGCATTCCAGCTATGAAATTAGCTAAGATAAAGAAAAGTGAAGCCATCTGAGCTATATACACGGGGAAACGAGAATCCAGCATATCCGTCGATAAGTATGTGATCGACCATATACCAATGACCATCTGCAATGATTCGCAACTTTTAGAAATCTTCTGATTTGATTTTTGGTTACAGCTAACCTGTAGGCTAAGGAAGCCGATGAAAAAAGGAGTTCGGAGATGTGGTTCACGTAGTACGGTGATCAGTGAGCGTAATATGGAAGTATCCGTAACTGCATCCTTCTCTTCGAGCAACATCTCATCCAAAGTCGCTTCAAGGTCAATTTTGTTTCCTAAACAAGAATTTTTTGAGGTTTCTGAATAAATAGTGTTCTGAGATTGTGAACACCAATTTCTCTGTGTATGTTTGCACTTTTTTCCTTCCTAGTTTGCCTGCGTTGCGTATTTGGTCACCATTGTCAGCACTAAAGGAGATGCTTAGAAATGGTCGTGTGGTCCCGGTCTTGTAAATTTGTCATTTTTTGGGCTCTCTATTTATGTACTTGGTCTACACTTGGTCTACTTATTTAGTTCAAAGATTTTACATTGAAAACATTTGCAGACTAGTTTTACTCGACCGTTAGGGATGATTATGATTTCTTACGACAAGCCAGTGGCGGTTCGACAATTTTTTCCTGGAGGGGGAGAGGGGAGGGGCAGGAGAGAGTTCTCAAATAAAGTGGTGGTGTCTGGAAGATTTTTTGGGATGTTTCCGCAAATTTGCAGACTCATAATCTGCCATAGAGATAAGGGGAGTGGTGGCAATCAAGCCCGAAAATTTTTTTTCAGACTAACTTTAAGTTTCAACAATGTTTATGAAGCATCCAAATTATTTTCGAGTAAAATCCAATCATTTACACTATTTTTTGACTCTGGAAAAAATAATCATTTTATGGAATCTTCTTTTTGACTTACCTCTATAAAATCGAAGTGATTTTCTTGCTGCTTTTCGATCTTTTGCGTTGAGCAGGAGGAATTTCGGTGTCTCTTCCAACTGCATCACTAGAGCAATTGAAATCGCAGCTGGTAAGATTGCGATACCTAAAAATATCTCTTTGCTCGCAGTTGGTAATGGAGGGGGAGGAAGAATTACTACCTGTGAGAACTGGCAGATTTTTGCCGAAAATAGCGTCCATGCCGAAACCTACGCCTATCACGGTAGTAGCAAGAAATGAATTTTCCGATAGAAACGATGTGATTCCACGATATTCTGTAGGTGTAGCTTCCTAGAAAAGCTAAAATAAAGGATAGAAGGGTTTAGTAGGGATTTTTACCTGAAGAAAAAGCATCAGCGCCCCAAATGATATTCCTGAACATATTGATAGCACAATCCTTGATGCGAAGAATAATTCCGGAACAGCGAATATTACGCCCAAAAATGACATCAGTGAACCTATTAGTGCACCACAGTTTGAGCCCAGAAGCGCTTCTAGAACAGTCAATTAAGCAGCAAACGCAGATGAGTTGCATAAATGTCCGTACTTCTTCTACCGAAGTTATCTGTACAATAAGGAGTGAAGAATGTCCCCACAAGATAGCCTAGGGACCATACATTGAGGACGCCTGACCATATCCATACGTAAAGATTCTCCGAAATACCGTTCTAAAAACAAGCGAAAAAGTTTGTGCTCCTGGTTATCCAAGTTAAGATGATCCTTACCTCATTACCCCTACTTATGTACGAGTCATTTATTAATGCTTGGAACGACTTATACGAGGTATTTGGGTAGGAGTTTGAGTAACCTTCCTGGAACGCATTTTTTAATCTTCGCTAAAGGACAGAAAATTACTGCCTACCCGGAAATTTACAACAAAGCCTAGCACACCAAAAACGAAAACACAACGCAGTAAGCGACCTGCAATTTATCCCATGATCATTTGAACCAATCGACATTGAAAAAGCATACCTTTGGGAGCGAACATTTCCTGTCACAATATTGACGACAGATCTCGATCGTATGTCGTCATATGAATACTTGAAATCACTTTTATAATCAAAGTGTTTTGATGTTGGTTCACTTCAGTTCACGAATAGTGTCTGGAGTCAATGTTTGTAAAGGCACCGTTTTCGTGAAAAGAACATGGTACTTACGACATGTAAGGAAGAAATGTTTGAATTTTAGCAACGAGACACACCTGCTTGTGGTAAACCCTCTCTATGGCGTTTTTCTGATCTGTATCTTCACTTTTTGGCTGATGATGTTATCAGGAGGTCTTTAGGTTATCTCTTGATTTTGGTTTCACAAACATGGTCTCAGTTTTTGTATTCTTCTATAGGCCGCAGGCATGAACATCCTCTGGGGAGGTACGAGCTTCAAGGAAAGCTTCATATCTAGAAAACCCAGAATCCGTATCTCCCTGCCTAACCACCTCTGAGTGTTTACACTATTTTTTTTTATGAACATATTATACGTGAACATAATGCTGTAGCAGCGCGTTTTACAACCATATGATCCCTCATTGGTTCCCAGCACGAGACATTCTTTTCTTGGTCATTTACTGATGTAGAGTTAAAGCTCACGAAATCGGGTTGATTATTTCTCGAATAATGTTGACCATTTCCGATAGGAGGAAAGAGATTGAAATAAAAACGGGCTTAACACTGATGGTTTAGACTTACTGAGGGATGCCTTATCAGTCAAAGTTTCCAAATGACACCCATATCGCTAGACTTATCTTTGAACCCTGAGTCCAAATTTGCTTTCCATCTCTGCGAAACCATTCTCCGAAAGAAGTCATGAGTGTTTGAAAACCCATATCTGTTAAGTTTTGAGTGACATAAAATCAGCGAAATTTGTATAGAAACACTGGAAAATGCGAAATCATTCTTGTACCAAGTATATCGACTACAAGAAATAAATACATCAAGTGGAAATATGCATAGGTGTTTTAATAGAGCTTTTCAATGATTTTATGCCACGTACAGCATGGCAAATTTAGTTTTCAAGTGCTCATAACTTCTTTCGGAGAAATGGTTCGCAAGAAAGGAAAGCAGATTCAAAATCAGCTTTTAAAGCTGTATTGTGGAAAGACCATTTCAACCAATACGGCTTCCCTATTAGTACAATTCTTGTAGTTTTCATTACTTTCATTTTGATATATGGATGTTGGAGAAAAGAGGGTCAGTGTTAAATCTGTGGAGGATCATGCAAAAATTTGGAAAGTGCGACTTATACGCTTCTGTTCAATAAATTCATGGTCTTACAATTGGAAGGTGAAACAAATCTAGATGGATGAGCAGCGTGAATCAACATATTTATGTTCGTGCATGCGGCCTTAAAAACCATTTTTTTGTGAGTTTGACACTGTTTGAGTAACTATAGTTTGCTTTATCCCGACACCCGATACGACAACGATAACGTAATAACAGTTGCTAGTCATAATAAAGTCATGATACGTCATCGTAGTATGATCTACAAAAATGAAAAAAACTTTAGGGGTGTCGGGTGTCCCAAAAGTCGTGTAAACACTGTTTGATCTCTAATATCTCTTTTCCCAAGAGGTCTTTTGTCTACCTTCAAGTATCTTTCCATAGAGCTGTCTTCGACATGGGGTTACAGCACGGGGCGAGTCATCGATCGCCCCCCATTACGGTAAGATAACGGTGGGAACATTTGGCTTAAGCGTCATTGTAAATTAGTCGTGTTTCGAAGATTAATAAAATCCTGAAAAATATTAGGTTGGCTAGAAAGTTCTTGCGTAATTCAAACAAAATTCAATAACTTTTCAATGACTAAACCTAAATTCACAATCTTGTTCTCTAAAAATATCGGATGATCTGCGCTCCATGATGGATGTTTACAAGAGTTCATGAGCTAGCCCCCGAGAAGGAAGCTCTCAAATATGGGACTTCAAAATTTGCAATTTTGAGTTTGGTGCCAGAAAATCGCAGAGTGCCGCTAGCTAGCCGAAAAAAATCTTAAAAATTACTTACACTGCATAAGTCCATAAGTTACTTTGGAAGGCACGGGTGAAGCAAAAACATATCTTGCACGGGTGAAGCAAAAACAAAAAATTCGTGAAATAGTCATTTTGCCGAAAAAATCCACTCATTACCGCAGTTTTTCGGCAAAAACAATTTTTTACACTCCAAAAAACGTCGCAAGGTTCTAAATAGCCAATATGTCTTATTTTTGGTAGCAAACTGTGTCTTTGTGGAAAAATTACATCGATAAGGGGATTTATCCTGTAAAGTGACAAATTCCACAAATTTTTTGTTTTCGCGTTTCCATGCGAGATTAAAGCCTGCTAAAATAACGTATGGACTTCTGCAGTGTAAATAATTTTTACAGATTTTTTCGGCTAGCTAGTGGCACTCTGCGATTTTCTGGCACCAAACTCAAAATTGTTTTGAAGTCCCATATTTGAGAGCTTCGTTTCGGGGGCTAGCTCATGAAATCTTGCGCTTAAACATCCATCACAGAGCGCAGGCCTTCTAATATTTTTAAGGAACAAGATTGTGAATTTAGGTTTAGTCATTGAAAAGTTATCGAATTTTGTTTGAATTACGCAAGAACTTTCTAGCCAACCTAATATTTAAAAAATCTGAAATTTACGCGCGCTGATTGCATTACTCAACTTCTCAAGAGTTTGTAAAGCTTTTCTAATGGTGTACTCACAATTTTAGGGAGCTTGTAAAGACAGCTATTTATTTATTTGATGCACTCTAGGTGCGCCTATTCCTAGAATTGAAAGCAGAGAAGCAAGAATAGCACGACAAATCAAGATTCAGTTGAATCAAAAAACATAAACAAGTTTAGCAGTGGTTAGTAAGAAAACACAAGCTTCACTCGCTCAAAAATCTAATTCTAGATATCCTCTTGTAGTTTTTGCTCCATACCAACATTTACATTTGCAAGCCATTGTGGCTGATTACGATACGAATGCAGTTTGGAACCCACGGAACACCACACGAACACATTAATGCGTAAACGACCACAGCAAAACATATAATGAGGCCTGAAAATCTAGAATTTTCAGAACATCGAGCATTAATTTGTCTTAATTTTTTTCGAAAAATTTCTATCGCGGAACCTTGCATAACTCATGAAAGAAACATTGCGATCGACTCCAAATAGCCTAGTGTCAAATTTCCAAATCCTTTGATTTGCATACTGAGGTAAGATGGGCCCTCAATGGTTCAAAACCCTTCTTCAATTTCCTACCGTAATCCAACAGTGATGGGAGCGATAGGTGATTCGCTCCATACTGCAAAACTAAGTGGAAGCCAGCCCTAAAATTGGTACGTGGAGGTAGGCAAAATACCTCTAGGGAGGAGA